AAAAGGGAGGCCTGGTCTAACAGATACCTATCCAGATACACATTGAATTGGTGAGATGAATAATATTTCTCACTGACAGATCGAGATATTTAAAAACATTAGTAGAAACTATAATAAAGCCTTTGGCTATGATAAGTTCAAGTAGTAAGATTATACCAAAACTTGGCGGACCTTATAGAAAAATGGATTGTTTACTTCTAGGTTATGTTGCCAGTTCCTCGGACAAACTTATACAAAGTTTTTTTACTGAATTCACCAACACAATCCAGACATTTCAAGTCAAAAATAAGAAGTTTCAAAAACTCATTTGCTATTGAAAGTGTTAGTGGCAATATTAGACCAAACATAAGTAAAGGAATTAGTGTTTATGTGTTCCAACGATCAAATTGTTACGGTAAAATTTATTTTTATGAAGAATTACTCAAATTTAAGCATAACGTTTTCCTTGACGTTATGTTTCATACTATGCGGCTCATTGAGCCGCACGGGTTCTCTAGTATACTTAAATTATTTTTTTTTACAGGTTTTTTAATTTGTTATTATATTACGCCCAAAAAACTTACAAAGAAAAAATATTTTCCTAACATGTTATAATTATATTTTTACATATGTTAGAAAAACATATTACCATTTTCTGAAGTCAGATAGGCTTCAGAAAACAAAAGTCCACTACAGATCAAATATTTATTAGCAAATTTTATCAAAATATTGGGAGTTTAACCGAGATGCCCACTTACTAATTATTGATTTTAAAAAGGCATACAATAGTATATATAGAAAACAAAATGTGGAAATACCTTATGAAAATGGGAATCTCAAACAAATTAGTTAAGCTAGCACAAATATGTACAGAAGACTCAAGATGCAAAGTACAAATAAACAACGAATATTCAACTGAATTCAATGTAGTCACCGGAGTACGACAAGGAGACAGACTCTCTCCGTTGTTAGTCAATGTAGCTTTAGAAAGTGCTCTTAAAAGAGTGAAACAACAACAACCTGGTGTAGAAATTGGAAAAAGGTAAACATTCTACCTTTTGCAGATGATATGACTATTAGCAGAGGATGAAAACTGTCAAAAAACCCTCACAGAGGCTCTAATTAAAGAAAATAGAGCAATAGGCTTAGAAATCAGCGAAGAAAAGACAAAATACCTAATAGTTGGAAGATTTTTACGTGGAACGTTCCTTGCAAGTTGGAGACTATAAGTTCAATAGGACTGCAGAGTTTAAGTACTTAGGAGTGACCATAGACCAAGAAAATAAAGATGAAGTAGAGATAAACGCCAGATTATAACTGGGGAATAAATGCTTTTGGACCCTTAAATCACTGCTAAAAAGTTGACTTTTGTTATGGAGCACCAAAGAAAAACTCTATAAAACTATAATACAGCCAATAGCACTCTATGGATCTGAAACCTGGACATTGACGAAGAACAACGAAAAGAAAATAATTGTTTTTGAAAACAAAATAGGCTACTAAGAACTATCTACGATTCCATCAACGAAAATGGGGTGTGGAGGATCAGAACAAACAAAGAATTGAGGGAAATCTATACAGACCCAGACATAATAGCACAAATAAAAAGCAGGAGACTGAGATGAGCAGGTCATGTGAAGAGAAGAGAATATTTTACGCTAAGAATGGTGTCTGAAAATCTCCCTCGGAGAAGACGACCACTAGGACGACCTCGACTAAGATGGCATTACCAGGTGCAAAGAGACATAGGGAAACTAAGAGCAGAGACAGGATGGATGGAAGACAGAGAGAGGTGGTGACTTGTTGGTGAGGCCAAAAACCTACTGAGGTTTGAGTTGCAACATAGGTAAGGTACGCAAGGTTATATATTTTTATGTAGGGAATTAGATTCAGATTGTCTACTAAATGTATATAACGAATTTCCCATGAAAAATCTGTAAAAAATTTTACTTTTGAAATTTAAAAAAGAAAATTCTTAAGTTTTTTATTCTTTTCACTTTAAAGAAAAAAAAACTCCTAAATCATTATTATATTACTATTTGTAGAATCTCCTGTTCTTTCCGAACAAAAGGAATATGAGGTTGGCTAGGTTCAATTCTACGGTTGAATTAGTACGAATTTTCAAAAAAAGGTCTCTAAAATTGCCAAAATGGGTTGGCCATTCCACACTTCTTACATTGGCCACTGCTAGGGTTAGACAATAAGTTGAGTCTAATTACAACCTACTCTTGTTTAAGTTAATATTGTCTTGCTTAAGAGTAAAATCATGATTGCTCGTGAGTAGGCTACGAGTTTAAGATAAGTTATCCATTTAATTGCTTATATTTCAGAGGCTCTGGAGTGATTTTTTGACGCCCAGCCTTTTGGAATCTTATGCAAACTTCCTTCTGAAATCTACTGAGGGAGGAAGGGAAGAAAATGACCTTGATGATTTTATCAGTACTTATGTAAAAATAATTAGAGGATCATCCAATGAAAAGGCTAAAGCCATTGCAACTATTCTGGGGACCCAGACAAATCAAGAAGGCGTAGAAACTAATATTGGCCACTGCTAAGGTTAATTTTTACCCTTGAACAAAAAGGTAATGCCACTTAAGACAACCTCCTCATAATATATTGTGCAATATCTTACAATGAGATTCAAAACTGTATTTATTCGTAGGTTGTTGATGCTCACTAAGAAATATTTTTTTAAATTTACTCAGGGCCATGCCTAAGTTTTTTTAACTGCATTCTTCACAGTTTCTAAATTGCCAAAGAAAGATCACTTTTGCTACTAAGATTACTGTTAATTTTTTTTTTTTAATTACAATAATTTATTTTTTAAAAAAATACAACCGACTTCAAACCCTCTAAAAAGAATGAAATAATTTCAATAAAGTAAACTTTTGTATTAGGCAAGCTCACGCATTTTAAGTTGGCGCGGCTCTATGATGATTTTTGATACAAAATTGAAAGAGGGTGTCCATATTGCAGGTGACTATCTATAACTAAAGTTGTTAATCTACATGTCTTTTTCATAGTTATGCGTTAAGTGTTATTTTATTACCGTAATCAGAGATCGGCATTATAGTGGTATTAACGAGCATCTTTAAAAAGATTATAACGCATTTAAATGTTTCTAACATGGAAAAGTAACGTTTTAATACCAAACTAGCTTCTTTTCCCTATCATAATATCAAACTAAATTATTTTCCCTATTCATATAGAGCATTTGTGTGTGTTATTTTCATAATGCATTTATTCTGAAGTAAACATAAAATACTTAAGAAAATATTTCCTTTAATAAACAAAATAGTTCAGTATGTTTTTTATATATTTATGTTATCCAGCTACAATTTATTGATTTTCAAAATACACACACAATATTTAATTTCAATCATATTTGCAGTTTGAGCCGCGCCGACTCGAAATACGTGAGCTTGCCTAATACAAAAGTATACTTTATTGAAATTATTTCATTCTTTTTAGAGGGTTTGAAGTCGGTTGTATTTTTTTAAAAAATAAATTATTTCATTATTTTTAGTGACTGTATAATTTTTTATATATTAATTACTTGAGGTTTTTTGATAAGCAAAACTGTTTGAAACAATCAAAAGTTCCACAGAACAATCATTATTTTAAAACTGCTTGAGTCACCTGTTCAGGTTACATAATCAATGGGTATGAAAATAAACATCTTTAGATATTCCTTAAGAAAGAAAGAGTTGTCCATTACATTAGGCCTAATAAAAAACTGATTGTCTTTTCTAGATACATTAAAATGTCAGACATCATCGTTTCCTGCAATCGGTGTACTTCTACATTATAAAAAGAAATACAGTAACGTCTCAAGCCTTTTGGAACAATATGAAAGTTATTCCTCAGCTACCAGCACTAAAAAATCTCTCAAAAGTGGAAAATTGGTTGATAACACGTATAGTACCTTTGGAAAACATTATATGAAAGATTGGTTCAGCTAAAAGTGGTGTAAGTCATGTAGGAGGTTTTGTTTGCTCAAGATATAGCCTAGTCGAAATTGCAAATCATCTTCCTCTAGGACTTTCCGAAGCAGGCATAATAGTATTGATATGATATAGTAACTGGGTAGAGAATATCAATAAACATTCCACATCTGCAAATGCATGTTTAGTAATTCAAATATTTAACACTTTTAAGACAATTGACGATTATGCACTGTCACACTTCTTAGGTCGTGTAAGGAATAATTGCATTTAATTTATATTTAGACCTGTTTTACGAATGCTTTGGTTTTCACAATAAACCTTTATTTTTCAATATCATACAGCTATTCACTGAAACATATATGTTTTTTTTAAGTCAGAATATTCAATACTAAAAACAGGATTACTGTATACACAAATCAGATCAAACGTTAAAATACATTTTTTATAGTAACCAAAACAAAATGCATGGCAAGAAATAGTTTATTGATCAATATGAAGCAACTGTTTCATGAAGAATTGTCTCTAGCTTAATTTATTTGGTTTCAACTAACAGCTGTAGGAATGTTTTCATTTATTGCCTTCTCTGCACAAATGTAAACAATCTGCACAAATGTAAACAAAATAAATGTTGAATATTTAAGGTTTTCAGAATTTTTCACCGAAACAAATATTATACTTAAACATAATATATAAGGTACCAAATAGAAACTCTCCTGGTTATTTTGGTGGTGGAACCACACTGATCGGTAAAAGAATCACAGAGAAATTGGTGAACATACATAGAAAAAAAAAAACATCGCCACAAACAAATTGAGAACCTCCTCCTTTTGTTGGTAGTGGGGAAGTCGGTTAATAAAATGAATTGATGGGATATTGCTATAAAAAAACAACTTGAGCTTCAGTAATTATTTTTTTTAAGGAAAACCTGAAAATGTTAAAAATAAGTTTTTGCTACAGTACAATAAAGTGTAAGAGAGTTACCTATAAATTATTAAGGAGAAACATTTTGGATTGGTCCATTGGGTAAGTGTACATTGAGGTGAAAAAAACAAGACAATCATTCTTACAAAACATTGTAATTAAATTAACCCTGGTTTATAATATAACGTAACGTACAATATTCATCATCCTGGATGGGCTTTAATTCAAATTCATAAATTAAGAAGAAAACATGTTATTTAGGAAAACCAATGCCAAACCTGTGTTAAACTCTTTTGCAGGTTTAGCTTTTTTCAGATTCACAAAGAAAAAAATACTATACATATATCTTCTCGATGTTTAAATCTAATAGGAAAATCAGTTCTTATTCTAGCGATAACTACATCTATTTCATCTAGGTAACTATGTCCATTTATTTAAAGTATACGGCGTCAAATTTAAGTTCACAAAAAATAACTTCACTTTTTATAATCACAAGTGTAAAATGGATATCCATAAAATTCAGCTCACTATGGTTTAAAATGATATCACATTCATTTGTTCTAACTTAATATAGGCCTAAACAATTAATTCGTTGAAAGCATCCATGTTTTGCGTTTACTGACAATCGTGTCAGCAGCTTTGATATCCGAACTTGGATGAGGTTTTAATGTCTGGAATGAAAGTTACTTCTCAAGATTTTTTGAAGTAGCCGAGCAATACCTCTAACAACCCTCTAGTAGGTTCTTGTTAAATGTCCGCCGGACTTTCGGCAGATCCTCATACCACGTAAAACACCCAGTAGCCCAAATTGAACATGAGAAACGAGACGGGAAACACTACTCGGGAGTATTTATCGATGATGTTAACATCCTTAATCTTAGGCATGGAGGCCTTGATGACCGACGCTCCCCGTTTGAATGCGTGTAGGAGCCGGGGACGAGTGTTGGGGCGATGGCGGAGTCTCAAGCCGGGGCGTGCGGTGGGGAATGTGTAGCCAGACCTGGACATGCGGAAACTCGGGGGAAACTTAGCGGGGTCATCTAACACCATGCCAGACGATGTGGAGAACCTGAAAATGTGAAGAACAAATAAAAACCTACTTGAGACAAGAAGATATAACAATGTGTGATATTTAGAAATAATCTTAAAGGTAGGTTACATTTATCACCACATGAATCTAGTAGTATATTTCATCACCACATGTATTTCATTCACTTAAGTGAAACTGTTCGCCCCGATGTCAAATCATACAGTTGTTATCAGCAATCACAGAGGGAATACTGGCTATGATTATGATTGTACTCAGAAAGTATGTACAAGTTTTGGTATCTGACAGAATGACATAAAACATGTGAGCATGACTAAAAATGTGCACTTTTTTGTTTTCACCTAAACCACTCAAAATACAAAGACTTTTCCCAACCAAGATCACATAACAAGATCTAATTTGCCCCTTGTATTAGATATTTTTTTCAACATTAGCTATGGAATTACCTTGCACTATTGTGGCGATTACGAATCGACGGTATTGGTGACAATCGGATGTCTTGTAGTTCTATTATTTCGTCTCCTGTACTACCTCCAGCGTAGCCATCACTGACTGTACTGCCTACTGCTTTGGTACCTAGTGTAGAAGAAAGTATTTGCATGTGAATTCATTGTTTTATATGAAAAACAATTCTAGTGAGAATATTTTAATGATTGTGGTACATTGTTTGTGTTGAGAAACAGTCCATGCATGACTTAGTAGTGAAATTGAATACAATAATACCAACTATGATTAAAAAATAAGTTTAAGGGTGAATAGTTTTAATCACTTCTGTAAGAAAAAAAGTTATACAGGTTAGGTATCAAGAAGGACACCCATTTCTTAGTTTTGTCATCAGGGATAAATCTTTGAGTAAATGTCTATACTACAGAATGGATGATTGAAGCTATCCTCTATTAGGACACATTGTAGCCAATGTTGAAGATAAGAAAAATACCCCCCTGGTGCAGCAAACCTGCATACTAAGCAAATTCCCATTTACGTGGTTGGATTTTTGTAAAACATTACAATATTAAAATTAATTGTCAGATTTATTTTCTATTTAAATAACATAAATTTTAATAATTACTTACGTTTGCTGCTATAAGGAAGGTAATAAAGTGTATTTTATACCAAAATGTTTATAGCTTAGTATAGAAAATTTTGCCAAACTTGATCAAATTATATCTTTTAACAAGCAAACTACGAGAGTTTATCTATGCTCCATAAGCATCACATGAAAATTTTAAATAAAAATTTTTTTAGAAGTTTTTCTTTAACTATTTGGCGTACAACAACGATTTAAAAACTAGATTATTTGTTTTTAAGCTTTTACAGAATTGTGTGGAAAGAAATACCAAAATAATATGTTTTCAAGGTTAAAAATGAAATAAACAAATTTTACCCTATAAAACACCCTATAAAACCATGTTCCCATGGTCTGATCATGCTAGTTCGCAAAATATTTTGAATAAACTTTGATTCCCAATTTGTCCCAAATTGCATCAAAATCGGATAATTTTTACTCGAGTTACCTGGGATAGACGGTTTTCTTGTCGTCTCCTCGGCTTCTTTCGTTTTCTTGGACTTCTTCTTCGCCCGAGCGCCCCAGTAAGTATAATTGACAGCTGCGTACTCGAGCAGAGCAGCAAACACAAACACAAAGCACATGACCAAGTAGATGTCAATTGCCTTGACGTAGGATATTCTGGGCAGTGAGCTTCGCACTCCCGTGCTTATAGTTGTCATGGTCAACACTGTGGTTATTCCTGAAACAAAAGAAAATAGGAAATTAAACAAGGGAAATATAATATCAAACTGAGGGAGGAATAGAAAAAAGTGAAGGGAGACATAATGTCAAAACAAAGGAGAAATCCTGTTAAATTAAGGGATAAATAAACACAAACCAAGGAAGAGATTAAAACTATCTCAGGGAGAGATCATATAAATCCAAGGGAGATATTTAAACAAGCCCAGAGAGACATAAAAATGAACTAAGATGAATCTGAATATTTACAGGAGAGGCTTTCTCTTCAGGACGAGGTTTCCACCACAGAACACATCATGGTGGGGGCTAAAACAAACCTAAGGAGAGATATGTTAAACTAAGGTACAGTTTAAAATAAACAAACCAGGAGAGAAATATTAAAAGTGTGCTTTTAAACAGCAACTTGTATACTTCATGCAAATGCAAAACACCAAAGAATTTAAGTTTAAGTTTTGTTGGAAGCTGGAACAACTAGGCCTAATTGAAAGTAAGCATAGAGCATTAACATGTTATTAATTTTATTCTTGGGAAATACATATTTTTGAAAAAAATACTTCAAGTGCAGGGTTCTATGTATTTTGACAAATCTTCCTTTGGTCTCTGAGTCAATGATTTACATACCTAGATATTGTAAAAATCGCTTTCCCACTTTGGTTGTGGGTCGCCAAGTAATTATCAAGAGTATTCAACACAAACCTACCCAGAGCCACTCGAGCGCTCGTGGCTTCATGGTTGATCCAGAAAGAAACCCAACTGAGCATCACGATCAATATGGAAGGCAGGTAAGTTTGGAACACGAAGTAGCCGATGTTCCTCTTGAGCTTGAAGCTGAGACTGAGTCGCTGGTAGGCGCCGGTGGCCAGCTTCTCAATGCGGTCGTTGGTGCCGTAGCCGATGATTGTAAACTGTGGTAGTTCCGCTTCCTCGACCCCTCTGACAGGAGTGGTTCTCCAATACATCACGACGTCTGTCACTGTGTACCCGTCTGTGAAGAATGGGAAATGTTATTGAGTTTCTGTTTGTTGTTTGTCAAGGTTGAAAGCAAAGACCACTGGAATTGGAGCGGGAATTCACAAAAGTTGACAGGGCCATGGGAAAATTTTTAAGTTGGGTTGGCAAGCAAGTTTTGTTCCAGGGGTTAGAGGAAAGCATAGTGAGTTTTAAATTTAGTCTTCATCAAGTAGAGTATGGAAATGTACCAAATTCAACCCACCTACTATTATGGTGACAGGGATGGATCAGAAATTTACGATATTAGTAAATTGTGATTTCTGTGTGTATCTATTTGTGAGGGGCAAATGCACAAACTACTAATCCAACTGGGCTGGAATCCTACAAATAGGAAGGCGGGGAGGATTAGGAAAACTAGAATTGTACATTGTTAATATACAGTGGTTTCTGTGTATCTGTTTGTCTAGTGGAAGCAAAAACTACTGAACTTAAGACAGTGACAACACACATTTGAGTTTGTATTTCACCCTTAATGAGTAAAGAACGTTGAGCTACTTGGGGATCTTTGTAAATTACTAAGATCAGCTGTTTATTAAGAGACGGAGCTACATTAATTACAAACGATTGAAAAGCTACCAGTGGCATTTTGTCAGGATGAAACCAATGACCGTCTGAAAACTGTTACAACTAAAATCTCTACTACTCACAACTCTCTATCTCCACAGTGCAGTTCTGAGAGTCCAGGGGGTAGTAGTGCAGGTCCATCATACAAGCCAGAGTAGTAGTGAACCGCATTCCATAGGTGATGCTGCCGTCTCCGTTGAGTCGGACTAATTTGTTACGTTCCGTTACGTCATGCAAGAAACTGTAAGTGAAGCTTGAATTATTGTCTGTATGATAAAAAATGTCTCCTGACCCTCCCTCTATACATGGGGACTGGCCAATGGTTTAAGGCCCGAGATATCCCAGGTAGATGGAGGGTGTGAATGATTATTAATGCAGAGAATATTGAGGGAAGGGTAAAAGACATATTGTTTAAGCGTGTTCAAAAGTTTGAGTATGTTGGTTGAATGCTAACAGTTTTATGTGGAACTTGTATTTTTTTGGGATGTGTTGTATGAGACTGTTTTAGCTCTTTTCAAAATAACAAAATAATAATGTTACTCTTTTCAAATTCATAGTGCCAAATGCCACTTAGAGTGAGTATATTAGTTTACAAAGGTTATTCAGTCATCCCTTTCCTATGAGCCAACAATAATGACAAAAGCTATGCTCTTTTTGCTTATGCTTCAAAAAATTGTTGGTTGTAAATAGTAAAAATTTATGAACAGCCAATAATATTTTTCAGGCTGGTTCTATCAAAAGTATATTGTAATATAATAAGTTATTGAATTAAATTGGTATTTTTTTTGCATCCATAGATTACCACAGATAAAACATAGACTTAGCATCATTTTGGGCCAGTGTTGGAAACGATTTTCTGGTATGTGTCTTCAGATCTGAAGAATAGGTTTTGATGCATTTTATTTTTTTCCTAGTTACTTCAACGAAATAAAATAGGATCTTTTGAAAAAGAAACAACAAAAAAATAGTGCTTGTCCTCTTTCTGATATTATTATCATACTTAATGTAAAAAAAATAAAATACAGGAAACCTTCAATAGCTCGACTCTCGATAGTTCGACACTCCTTGTAGTTCGACACGGGCTGAGCTATTTTGTCAAGTGATATTTAATGGTTACTAAGTAAGCTGACTTGAACATTAATTTTTCATTTATTGTTGACTAAAGACTAATGAACAGTGAAATTGTTAAGCTTTATTTTAGTATTTAATAAATTTGGGTGATTTCTATTTAGGACTAAATTAGAGTTTTTACTTTCCTGTATATTAAACTCCATTTACTCCCTATAGTTCGACACCCCTTAAGTCCACAAATTATCAAACTATAGAGGTTCTACTGTACATTTAGTTATCATCAGCCCACACAAACTTACCAATGAAAGAAACAAAATTTAACTTTAGATTTTGCAATAGGCTGCCAAGAATACTTTTGCAATATCAAAAATACATGGTACATCTTTTGTTTCTAAACGAAGAACAAAATACCCCCGCCGCAGCAAACCAAATTTCCATTCGCCTGAATTGATCTACAATCAAATCCATTTAAATAACATTAATACTTTAATACTTTCTTATCAAATGGCGACCATGCAAAGTAGGTAGGTATATTTTAAGCCAAGTGGTTAAACACTAGGTTTGCTGCTGCAGGGTGGGTTATAAAGTGTGTTTTTTAGTAAAATATTAAAAGCTTAGTATAAAATAAATAAATTTGCCAAGTTTGATCAAAATATATCCATAAACAAGCAAAAACTACAACTTTTTACAAAATTCTCCATAAGAATAACATGGGAATTTTAAATTTACAATTTTTTTGAATTTTCTCAGTAACCAATAACCGCACAAAAACACTTCAGTATACTAAAGTATTTGTATTTTTAAGCTCTTTAAAATGGTCTAGAGAGAAATTGGGAAATTTGGTGTTTTGATAGTCAGAAATGAGAAAACCCAATTGTTACCCATTCAAACCACCTGTAAAACCCCGTTCCCATCGTCCGATCATGCTGGTTCACAAACTCATTCAGGTTTATCCCACCTTCTACCTTCAAACCAAATCTCATCAAAATAGAACAAAAATTACTCAAGTTATCGCGTTTACAGACACACACACACATATACTGTAAACATTAAATGTTTGAATTGTGAGAGGAAGGTACATCTCAGCAAAGTTTGTCGGAGAAAGAAACAAAGCATGCGACAAGCTTATAACGTTTCGACAGGTAATGAGTATGAAGAGGAAGGTGAGTGTCAAAATCCACCTTTTATGTCAATGATATATTTTGCTCATTTTTTATAATTTATTTTTCTATATTGTTTTGGTGAAGTGGTAGAACATTATAGCTATGGTAGATGTGTAATACTATAGAATACTGTAAATTTAAAGAGGCAAATTTTATCAAATTGTGTCCTCCCTCATTGCAAACGCATAGCTTGAGTATAACTGCAATAAGCATTTTATACTTACCATGTATATGCCAACCCTGTACGAAAGACGGGTACTCTGCTAGTATATATATATATATATATATACAAATTTGAAAAGTGTTTTTGGCCTCTGGGGACATCAAAATAAAAAAGTAAATCCGTCCCGTCCCGGGCTTAAGTTTTACCATGAGACCTACGGTAATAGCTACTTCCCTTATAGGGAATTTCGCTAATTGTGTCAAAAACATAATTGTATAATTCCTTTACCTATTTTTGTCATTGGCAAAGAATGTGTCGGGGACCCAGATCTTCTCAGCAAAGTCCCCAGATAGAGTGAGAACTTCATCATTGTTGCTAAACGCAAGTCTTTCATCCTTCCAGTATTGGTTGAGGTACATTGTGATTGTATAGTCCTGTAAAATACATCAGTGAATATTAAAACATCTTTACTAGTGTGACACATTTTATTTCATTCACGGATTATAAAAACTATAGCCTGTACAATCGAAGCTGTCTCCTGACCCTTAGTGTACAAGGAATTGGCTCGGGCCTTAATTCAGAACAGAACTCTGCAAAACAACAGTATAGAGATTAAATAAATATAAGAGGTAAAAAATAAACTATATACTCTTTACTCTGTTTGTTTCTTAATCAAATTCGCTCTTGTTAATCAGAGTTTGGGTTTATTGCCCAGGCCAGTCCCAGGTAGCCGAAGGGTCAAGGGACGGTTTCGATCTTACAGACTATAATCGGTTGGTGTAACAGGTTGGATTTCGTATAAGGTTATAACCATTTTGAAATAACTTCCCGCGAATAAAGTAAACCATTTTCAAGAAGTGGATTTTCTTTATTATTTAGCTTATTTTTGTGAGCTAAATTACCTTCAGAACGTAAGCAGTCGTAAGCAATATCTCTGTAATACTCATTGAACAGATATTACTCTATAATATTCCTGTATAATTGGGCATTGTTTACAGTACCATTATAACAAGAAGACCATTGATGAGACTACTCACCATGTTGACTTCACTAATTGAATCAAAACTGGCGATGGTAAGGTCCATTCCCACGTAAAGAGGTTCCCCTATAACAAATACAACCACAAAAACATTACAAAATCGCATAGTTTGCGTTTTTCTGTACAGGCCGTCTATGGACCGTTCTAAAGCCGGCTCCAGACATGCGCCATTCGCAAAGCACCGAACAGCAACTCGCCGAATCGTGAGTAGTGTGGATAGGTGTTTGCCTATACTCTATTTGGCAAGCAGCAAGTGCTCGTGCTCGTGTTTTCCCGTTCATTGTCGATATTTTTGAACACATCAAATTGAACGAATATTTTTGCTATTCCCAAAAAGAACAGTTGCTCGGAAAACAACACATGTGTGTCGACGGGTAGACGTCTACTCGTTAATCGGCGAATAGCAAGTCAACTAGATACTTAAATACATACTTTAAATACTTTTTAATGAAATGGCGACCATACAAAGTAGGTATTTTAAGCCAAGTATGAATGGAGATGAGTGTAGGATGAGTGGCGCGATCTTGTTACAGTAGTAACTAAGGCCGACATATTCCTTAGACACAGCTGTTAATTAATAGCCCATACAGCTAATGGAAACTAAGGGACCTACGGTTTATAGTGGAATCCGAACCACATTTTGCCTTGGTATATACGAATTGGTCTAATTATTATCAGGATAGCACTGCGGATAGTTGTACACCGAACAACACATATTTCGTGCTTTGTGAATGGCGCATGTTTGGAGCCGGCTTAGGCTATCGGCGAAACGATTGATATCAGACACCATCGATACTATACTACTATCGATCACAAAACTATCGATTAAATAAATCAGCTTAACAAAAAACCAAACTCAATTGTAGCAATCGATAATGATGGAGTTGGATATCCAAGTTTTGCTTCCTATAGTCAACTCAAATAGAATAGGCGGTTGACCAGCTGGACTATTTTAAAACAATTATCTTCTTCCGCCTGTTCTAATTGAGCTGAGTATAAGCACAGACGATAGACCATTATTGGTTTTATAGTCTGTGGTATAACAAGATGGAGAGAGTACATTAACTTAAGATTGTATCTGCCTTTTTCGTACATTTCAAACTAATGTTCAAGTCGATAATCGATTTTGGATGGCTATAGAGGCTATTGTCCTTGACTAAATAGTAAATACTATCATGATACTATTGTCGGTACTTTCCTGTTAAAGGGAACATTCATTATAATCGATGATTTTTTCGATATATCGATATTTTTGTTTACCGATCCATTACATATTGACAACTGATATTGTTTAGGCTAAAATAGTCTATTATATGGATTAGCTAACCTAACATAACCAACCAAACTTGCTGTACTATTTAAAAATTCCTTTTGATAACAGAAAAGGCAAGTTAAACATGGAATATGTTACACAGCAAGTTTGGTTAGTTATGTTAGGTTATTTTTTTTAGAACAGTTTCATTTCATTATTGTTTGTTGATACTGAACAATATTTATCGTAGTTGTCAGCTGATACGTTTCAATTTGTTAATATCGATATATCGAGAAAAAAAATCATCGATAATAATGAATGTTCCCTTTAACAGGAAAGTACCCTATTGTCCAACAAATATCATTTTCCCGTTGGTCTGGCTAAACATTAAAATCAAAATCATATGACTGTCAAACAAAAACATCGTACATGTAAAGTAAATAAAGCATACAGTTAGTAGTAGTATTAGTATTCTAGGGTATACTAATTTGCTTTCTAGAGTAATTTGCATTATGGACGAAGGAAAGTTAGATTTGAAGGAAATGTCAGTTTTTGACAAGAAAGAATATTCCGGCGAAGATCTTGATCGGCTTGATGGTCTACTCAAAGCAAGAAAACCAAGATCCAGCAACGTATCTGAGGATTCCGTTAGGCTTTCGCAAGGTGATGTCTTCCCGGACCGAGGAACGCTGTCGACGGCAGTTTTGGGGAAAAAGAAAGTTCGCTGGGCAGATCTAGAAGATTGCCTAAGGAAGATGAGCTTTGTCAGCATCCGACAACCTACCTGGACCAAAACAGACTCTGGATTCGAAGGTAGCCCCATGGACTGCAATATAGCAGTTGAATAAGCCATTATAAATGTCACATTAAACCATGTTTCTAGTCAATGATAAACAACAAAGATTAAAAGATTATGTTTCCCAAATTATCTCGATGAAATAAATTTTCTGTTGAATATCCTTGAATTTGTTGATCATTTGAATGACGAACATGGTTTAGTTCAGTGGTAAATTATTAGTTGCGTCGTTGCGTGGCACAATTTGCGGTATAAAATTGTTCATAGGCCTACAAAGTTATACACTCATGGGTTGGTATTTTCTAATACTTAATATCCCTATATCCACAACTTCGTATGTCTGTAAACATTGCATAACAAAAAAGATTTCCAAGAGGTTAATCAAAGGCTGATAAAAAAGTATTTTTTCATCGAAACACAGAGTGACAGTAGTCAATTTTTTAAGAGCGAGATTAGTCTATTAACATTATTGAAATGAAATTGTACCAATGCATTGAATGAATGACGCACATGTCTCCACTTTTGGCGTCACACTTCTCAACTAGAACGTAGGCCTACATTTAGTTTCGAACAATTAAGCCCTGCCCGATCCAGACGCCCCTAAATAAATAATTGAATCTTTTAGAAACAACGTTCAAACTAGGCTGTGCATATTTAATTTCATATTCAGAGGAAGTTCCATATCTTGGCATGAAGCCCAATAGGTCTAGTCGTTTCCGTTTTCTTTCCGATTCTGTTCTTAATCTGCAGCAGAGTATTTTTAATTTAACTGAAACACTATGGATAGAGGCTAGAGCATTTTGCAAGATGGTTGTTATTAACTTCATGATTTTAATTATTAATGTATACTAATAATGCATCTGGAGAGAATGTGGTAACGACTGGTATACGTTTTTTAATCGTGGATACGTTTTTTCCAATAATAATTTAAACAAATATTTGAGTGCTAAGTTCATAAATTGCAAAAAAATAAAAAAAACATGCACACGGCTCATTAATTCCTTTGGTTTTACTGCAACAATTAAAATTCATAATCTTAACTTCTTAAATTATGTATTGATGATGTTTTGTTATCTCGATTTATCCATTATAAATCTAGTTAAATACTGATGTTTAAATTACTTATTTTACTATTGTTAAAGTTGAGGAGCATTTAATGCATGTTATTTATAGTTATTCATTTAAGGCAATTGTTTCAAGTTTTTATTAAAGCAAGGTAACTTTTTAGGCTTATTTATATAAAACTTGTCTTTGAAAGGTAGAGTATAAGTAGAAACATAGACAAACAGAATAAATATTTATTCTATTTGTCTATGGTGGAAACAACAGTGAAAGCAGATTATAACTGGAAATAAGGAAAGCCGTGGATGACTGACCAAGGTTAAAGTAGATTATTATCAAAAACCAATGCTCTCTATGAGCTGCAGACAAGCAAAATTTTCCTGTCTTTTGCAGCAAGTTAATACCTAATACAATTTTGTAAGATTTTGTGATTTTTTAAATAAAGATGATTAGGCCTAATAAGAACTGAACTTAATTCAACTGGTGTAGCACTGGCACGACAAATCCACTACAAAATCTTGACGGTGTAATTTTGTTAGGTTGGTACCAACTAGGAGAATCAGCTCATTGGCTTGTGGCTTTATTTATTTACAATCACACAACCCCCTAGTTCAAATCCCCCCCCCCCTTCGGGCTCAAGGCAGTAGTGTCGTGGGTTCGGATCCTGGTCACTGCCACACACTTTTATCACTACAGTTCACCTTTGTACTGTACCGGCTCACCCCTTGCTTTGCTGAATACATTCCACGCACAGATCTGTGGTCTATGTGGGCAAATGCAAGGTTAAAAGAGGCCGCCAACCTCTTTTCTATAAAAAAATATACACAATGCAATCAATGAATACAAATGGGGTTGTATTCATTGAATGTATAATAATTTATTTATAATCATTGATTATTTATTTTTTTCTATCGTTTAGGTGGAGTAGTAGAAAATTATGTCTATGGTAGACGTGTTAAAATATATCATATACCGTAAATTTAAAGAATCTAATTTTATCAAACGGTGTCCTCCCCCATTGCAAACGCAAAGCTTGAGTATAACTGCAATAAGCATTTTATACTTATATGCCAACCCCGTACGAAGGATGGGTACTCTGCTAGTATAGAAAATGGATGATTTTTATTACAAAATTTATTCAAAATAATATTAACAGTTCTTCTTGAAGACATAAAAGATTGTTGTGCTAGAAACAGGAGATGGCGATGAGATTGCATTTATCTGGAAAGACAAGACGTTGAAAGTAATTGAATGTTTTAGTCCTAAACACTCTCTTGTGTGAACAATTCACATTAAACTTTCAGCCGAGGCAGAACCCTAATTGGGTGGAATGGATCGCTTTGTAAGCGTTTGAATTTAATATGAAATGAAACCTGTTTGACGCTGAATATATTTGTAATTGGAGGAGTTTAGTGTTTTAGTTGTATTGTTTACCGTTATAACAGAGCGGCAGCTTAGTTTTTATTCAACCCCAGAAAATAATCAATACTAATGGGATATCCAAAATAGGTTGAAATGAAAAGGATAAGAATTAATCAGAAATCATGGGTAAAAAGAGGCCACAAACCTTGACAAGTCTTAAAAAATTTGTATGTAGGCTAATAAACAAAAAGTGGCTAGTCGGCCAAAGAAGTATTAAATTAAATGCGTGCCAGTAAAGGGAGGATGATAAACGACCACGAATTTTAGAACAGATAATGGTAAGGATCATAAAACATACATTACTGACCCAAATTAAGGAACGCGGCAGCGTTCCGCCCCGCCAAGTCCCCCAGCGGTACACAGCTGCTGCAGTTATATACTATGAACCATATCTGGTTTGGATTTCGACAGTTCCATTTAAATATCAATACAAACACATTTTACTTTCGAGCCAATGGCGTAATTTGTTTATTAGTAGATTCTGTTCTAGTATCATAGCAGCATTTTTACAAGGCCGCGGTGAGACACAATTGGCAACGTCGCACTCCCGGCCTATAGAAACAGCTGTTGCACTAATTCATAATAAGGTGTCTGCGCAATGTTTGCACGTTTGTTATACTGTTCATGGTTTTTACCATGGCAACTACTGCATTTATTTAATAAATTTAGTTAATTATGCACCGACATTAAAAGGAAGTCGTACTGACCAAAGTAACATTGTTACTTCAATCGAGTATAAAGATAACATCTATAATAATTCTTTGACGACTTGACAAATATATTTACCTCCGAAGTTTGGCCTGAGTCTTATGTCGTATCCGTCCAGAAGGCGGGAAATTGTCTGGGTTACGTTGGCTAACCGGTCCAGGGTGCTCTTGGTCGTTCTGAAAAAAATTATCCTTTGTATAATGAATTATAAATAACAAATAATAAGAACTACATTTCCCCTCTAAGAAGTACTGAATTCAATACTCCATCTGTTCATCTGTTCTGAAAATGATGTTTTATGGTTTCATACCACGAATGTGACTCCAACGCTGGTCTCTTTTGTTTGAAATTTGATCTGTAAAATAGGAACAAGTATAGTGTCTATACTGTTAGTCCTCAAATTTCATATCCAAACAATTAGTTTTACATTATAGGCCTACGCAATACGCATATCTGAGCTGTGTATTAGATTGATCATTTAAAAAATTCGTTACTTAAATTTAAATGTATTTCATTTTTATTATAATTACATGCTAACGAATTTCAAACATACTGAACAGTCTTCAATATTTAAGGCGTTAACTCAAACAGTGAAAAAGATCAATCTAATCGTCCCTGTTGAAAATGGCAAGTACGAATTACTCTACATTTTCATAATGTCATTTTTCCACACTGTGCATTCAATTCAATCAATTTTCCTAGTTATGAATAAAGAGACGATGTATAACGGAGGCTGGTGTTAGGATATTCCTGTAGTGATGAGGCAGCGTTTAGTGAATTGCTGCTTGAGTTAAGAGGACCATCACTGCTCATTCAACTTGTCCTCATCCTGTACACCACACCCTCGTGTACACCATGTACAACTTTACACCTTCAACTGCTCATATCGTTATAGGCCTACACACCACCTCGTGTACAAATTTACACCTTCAACTGCTCATATCGTTATAGGCCTACACACCACCTCGTGTACAAATTTACACCTTCAACTGCTCATATCGTTATAGGCCTACACACCACCTCGTGTACAAATTTATACCTTCAACTGCTCATATCGTTATAGGCCTACACACCACCTCGTGTACAAATTTATACCTTCAACTGCTCATATCGTTATAGGCCTACACACCACCTCGTGTACAAATTTATACCTTCAACTGCTCATATCGTTATAGGCCTACACACCACCTCGTGTACAAATTTACACCTTCAACTGCTCATATCGTTATAGGCCTACACACCACCTCGTGTACAAATTTATACCTTCAACTGCTCATATCGTTATAGGCCTACACACCACCTCGTGTACAAATTTATACCTTCAACTGCTCATATCGTTATAGGCCTACACACCACCTCGTGTACAAATTTATACCTTCAACTGCTCATATCGTTATAGGCCTACACACCACCTCGTGTACAAATTTATACCTTCAACTGCTCATATCGTTATAGGCCTACACACCACCTCGTGTACAAATTTATACCTTCAACTGCTCATATCGTTATAGGCCTACACACCCCCTCGTGTACAACTTTATACCTTCAACTGCTCACATCGTTATACACCCCCTCATGTACAACTTTATACCTTCAAATGCTCACATCGTTATAGGCCTACACACCACCTCGTGTACAAATTTATACCTTCAACTGCTCACATCGTTATAGGCCTACACACCCCTTCGTGTACAACTTTATACATTCAACTGCTCACATCGTTATACACCCCCTCATGTACAACTTTATAGCTTCAACTGCTCACATCATTACACTACACGCTCGTGTATAACAAGAACAACTTTACACTTTCACCTGCACACATCGTTATAGGCCTACACACCCCCTCGTGTACAACTTTATACCTTCAACCGCTCACATCGTTATACACTATACTCTCGAGTACACCATGTACAACTTTACACCTTCAACCGATAACATATTTATACAGTACAACACACTATCGTGTACAACATGTACAACTTAACATTTTCAACTGATCACACCGTTATACACTAAACTCTTGTGTACACCATGTGCATCTTTACACCTTTCGACTGCTAACATTGTCATACACTAGAATGCTGTGTACAAAATATACAACTTTACACCTTCAACTGATAACATTGTTATACACTAGAATGCTGTGTACAAAACATACAACTTTATTGCTTCGACTGATAACATCGTTATACACTATACTCTCGTGTACACCATGTACAACTTTACACCTTTGACTGCTAACATCGTCATACACTAGAATGTTGTGTACAAAACATACAACTTTACACCTTCGACTGATAACATCTTTATACACTATACACTCGTGTACACCATGTACAACTTTACACATTCGACTGCTAACATCGTCATACACTAGAATGTTGTGTTTAAAACATACAACTTTATACCTTCGACTGATAACATCGTTATACACTATACTCTCGTGTACACCATGTACAACTTTACACCTTTGACTGATAACATCGTTATACACTATACTCTCGTGTACACCATGTACAACTTTACACCTTTGACTGATAACATCGTTATACACTATACTCTCGTGTACACCATGTACAACTTTACACCTTTGACCGCTAACATCGTCATACACTAGAATGTTGTGTACAAAACATACAACTTTACACCTTCGACTGATAACATCGTTATACACTATACTCTCGTGTACACCATGTACAACCTTACACCTTTGACTGATAACATCGTTATACACTATACTCTCGTGTACACCATGTACAACTTTACTCCTTCGACTGATAACACCGTTTTACCCTACACTCTCGTGTACACCATGTACAACTTCACACCTTCGGGATAATTAATGTAATTATATTCCGGACGTACAACGCTCTGATTACTGATTATAGAGTGAGTGATTCGACTGAAAAGCCGCTGATTGCCAAAGAGCCTTGTTAGAGAAACTTCGTCACAACTCGTAATGTGTTGAGGTATAGACATTTTGTAAAGCTACAACAGCTATCCTGCTTTATCTGTAAATGTAAAATTTTGTATGGCTATTTGTAAGCGATACTCCTTAAAAAAAAATTAATCAGGAAGTATCCATTGTAAACGTTAAGACTGGAGAAACTCAATTAATAGTATACTTCGTACCTAGCACCGAAAATGAGGTTTTGCTGGCTCTAGATCATAAGTTCGAGACATTATACGTAATTGAGAAAATGTGTACTCTAATAGTCAACACAAATAAAACTTTAAGGTTACAGTATGTGAAGAATTAAAGAAATAATAATAAATAGTTGCTAGGCAGCGCAATAAAACAAGTCTATTAATATTGCAATGCACTGCTTTTGTATTTTGTACAGGGGTGGCAAATAAGTATAAAGTGCGTATTGCAGTTATACCATATAATAGTCAAAGGTTATACTAAAGCTTTGATTTTGTAATGGGAATGAAGTAAACAATTTGGTAAAATTTATTTTGTTTCTTTAAATTTACGGTATGCTATAATATAACACATCTATCATAGCGGTAATGTTCTACCACTGCACCTAAATCATAGAAAAAATAAATTATCAAATATTCGCACAATATCACTAATTACTCATTAAAAACATAAACATATCTGTAAACAATCCTACTTTGGCAGTTCTCATTGAGTATCACAGCTTTTTGTTGCTGCTTAGTTCAAATTAGATGTTGTCATCAATGCAAAATACCCCCACCGCAGCAAACACGCAGACTAAGCGAATTTCCATTTTCCTTGCTGGATTTCCACTAAAATATTCCCTGAAAATTGTCAGATTTATTTCCTATTTAGGTTTGCTGCTACAGGGAAGGAAGAAGCCCTAAAGGATTTTTGAGATAAGAATAGGTCTATATGTTAATCGGGAATGTGAGCTATCATTATATCAAATTTCAGTCCAATCCGTCCAGTGGTTATTGCGTGATTGAACTTCAAGCAAGCAAACAAACAAACACACAAACTTTCAAATTTGTAATATTACTATGATTATGTTTTAAGTAAATGGTGAGTGAAGTAAGTGATAAGTCGGTGGCTCAGTCGGTAGCGTCACGGACTTCGGACCCAATGCAGTGATGTCGTGGGTTCGGATCCTGGTCACTGCTACAAGCATTTTTATCAGTTCACCTTTGTACTGTACCGGCTCACCCCTTGCTTTGCTGGATACATTTCACGTACAGATCTGTAGTCCATGTGGGCAAATGCAATGTGAAAAGAGACCGCCAACCTCAAAAAAAGAAAACGCAAACAGCTGATTTTTTTTGCTCTAACAAGTAAAAACCTGCTCGGTCTCCAAATGACGATGACAGCTGGCATGGATAGCATTACGTAGCTGTCAGCCTCAAAATGTTAACGTTTGTAAAACAGCTAAAAACATCATGGTGTGGCGAAAATCAAATTTATGTTCTTTAACTACGAACACTTTATGGTGCAAATTTTAAACTAAATCACAGCTGAATATGCGTTTAGTATAGATTGTAGTGGATTATCTGGATAGCTTTGTTTACTGAACAACAGCACCTGTTTCTTTTTAGCAAGGATAATTTATTCAAGGTCAAAATGATCAAATACGGTCAGTTTTGAGCTACCAAAAAGCTACCGACTCTCAGGATCGAACCGGGGACCTTCCGTTAAGGCGATCACTGCCTCTCAGGTAAGCTACCCAGCTAATATCAGTTAGTTATGGTAAGGAAGTTGGGTATATTGATTTAAAATTCCAGCTGCCACTGATTAAAATAAAATTGGTCTTTAAAATAAAATATCGTGACTTAAGAACCAGTTAATCTTCCAATACAGCTGACTTTTTTGTAGTCTTGAGCCAGTTATGAAACATTATGTGTAACAAATCACTATATATTTCACCAAACATTACTAACCGAGGTGGTTATGGATTAGGTGGTGTGACCGTGAGGCTAATACGTTGGCAAACAGCCAGGGATTAAATATCTGGAGTATACATCTGAAACACCCTTGCCTCGATTCCAGTGCGAGGTTTGGTTAACTCTTTTTACGTGTATATTGTATAAAGCGAGCACTCAACTAACTGTTTTTAGTCATAGTTTAGCACTATCAAACCAATTGTTTTGACTACAAATACAATTTGACACAAAAATAATACTTTAAGGACAGATAGTACTATTTTCCCATTGGCTAACGTAATTGGAATTTTGG